ACTTCTGCAGTAACCTCGTCAGCTCTAAGAATTTCGATGGTATTGTAAGAGCTGACGAAGAATCGCCGTAATCTACAAACACCTAGTACCATTTGCTCGGAATTTCGTTGGGCTACGAAGCGACGAAGATCTTTGATTTCAGATGCTCCGGAACCGTACTTTAAGAGTGCGTGATGACATGCTGTGGAGGGTACTCGATATTGCTCTTCGATGTATGCTGTTTCCGATGGAGCTATTGGTGAGAGGAGTACAGAATGTGCATCGTAGGCGCTGCCCACTTCTTGTCTATCTCTTGCTCTTCATTACAATTTTGAAAGGACTGGAAATAGTTGCGGCTCAGTTATCGAACACGCCCAGTGCAGGAACAGATTTTGAGGCGCTTGTGAATATCACACACTCATTCGAAAGCAATTCTCTTTCTACGAATGGGACCTGGTCGAGCTTTTGCAGTAACTGGATTGGAGTGACGTCCAACAACGAAAGCCGGGTGGTCTACTGGATCTGAGTTCGAAGAAGCTGGCTTGTATCATCCTCTGGCTGTCGGAAATTTTGCTAGGCTAGGGACACTTGATATTCATGATAACCAGCTCTTACGATCGATACCAGACGTCCTCTTCAAGCTTTCCGTTCTCAAATTCCTAGATCTCGGTCAGAACCTGCTTCACGGACCTATTCCAGACTCAGTGTGCTCATTGTCATCAACGAGTCTGCGAAAACTATCTCTGGCAAACAACATGCTAAGCCCGCTCGTTTGAATCTTTGCACAAACCTTTGTGGTCTGTAGATGGGTCGAAAAAACTTCACTGAATCTAAACCCAATTAGCTCAATCTTTCAACTCTTGACCTTCTCTCAACAGATAAACGACACTTCGACGAGATCATAGTCACAAACTTTATTCTTCTAAAAGATATGAGTGACAACACTGACTTGACCATCACTCGGCTCCTAAAGAGCAGATTTAATATATGTCAAAAGCTCTAGCCGATAGATGACTCTTTATCTCAAGTAGTGGTATTCTTCTTGGTATCTTTGTGACTTTTGAGCCCATTGTGAGGCGCCTATAATGAAGAGTCTGCATATTCTCACGTACTCTGCCACAGCATTCTGATACTGAGGTTCAACCTTCAAGTTGCCACTTTTGTCTCGAACTCGTTGATCTTTTTTTTTAACATTTCGTTTGCGCGATTCATACCTTCGATTTCTGACCATCCGAATTTTTCCATGATGATGAAGATCACATTGAAACGATCTCCTCGCTCTTGAACCTCCTAAGGCACTTATAAAGCTTTTGTAACACTGTGCCCCAGAAAGATGAAGGTCTAGTTCTCAATATTCAATTGCAGTATTTTTCGTTTCCCACCTTTCGAGGCTATACTGAGCTAGGTATCCGTGACCAATCCTTTCCTCAGTTCTAGCTGAAATATCGACTAAAGTAACGGTGCTGTTACGGACTACTAGAAAACTCGACAGACATTGGTACCTAGGGGTACACATCAGTAATGACAGGAGCTACTCCCCTAAACACAACCTTGTTTATAGGACTCTTCTGATATTTTTATTTCTAAGGCACTGTCAGCGGAAGATCTCCTCTTACCTTTGCAAATGAGTACATATCGTTCTCCCATGCTATGGCAAGGCAGCAAGCGCCCACGAGGGCTTGCATGTTTGTATCGACGAACACATCCTTCGGAATTTGGGGCCACTGTCGAGAATCGTTGAAGAGATCCGTCAACCCCTGCACAAGGTTGAAATCGTAAGACTGTTGTTGAGCACCTACCGTGGACCTTGAGATAATAATAAATGCACAATGTGGTCGATTTCTTTGAATGCATTTCAGCAGTTTCCAGCAACGTGTTGACAATTGTGTACACCTAATTCTGCTAAACCGAAGTCTAAACTAGAGTCAGCAAGCGCCCACGAGGGCTTGCATGTTTGTATCGACGAACACATCCTTCGGAATTTGGGGCCACTGTCGAGAATCGTTGAAGAGATCCGTCAACCCCTGCACAAGGTTGAAATCGTAAGACTGTTGTTGAGCACCTACCGTGGACCTTGAGATAATAATAAATGCACAATGTGGTCGATTTCTTTGAATGCATTTCAGCAGTTTCCAGCAACGTGTTGACAATTGTGTACACCTAATTCTGCTAAACCGAAGTCTAAACTAGAGTCAGCAAGCGCCCACGAGGGCTTGCATGTTTGTATCGACGAACACATCCTTCGGAATTTGGGGCCACTGTCGAGAATCGTTGAAGAGATCCGTCAACCCCTGCACAAGGTTGAAATCGTAAGACTGTTGTTGAGCACCTACCGTGGACCTTGAGATAATAATAAATGCACAATGTGGTCGATTTCTTTGAATGCATTTCAGCAGTTTCCAGCAACGTGTTGACAATTGTGTACACCTAATTCTGCTAAACCGAAGTCTAAACTAGAGTCAAGAACCAATGTCTCGTCTGAAAGAGATCAAGCCTTCAACATGACAGAAGTTAAGACGAACAAGTTTTTTCGCGTCATGACTGAAAAATCCCGATTCAGCTAATCGATGCTCATAACGTGAGCACGTTCTTGCAAGCAGAAGACAAGGAGTCTAAGGTGTCATGGTTGCGATTCTGCAAGCAATTGTGATGAGATGAAAAGAAAGCTTACTATCAGGGGCTGCACGCCCACGGATCGCGTTCGAAAGTCGGTGAATTCAGCCAATGACGTATGATACTCTCCGGATAATCTGCTCTTCGTCTCAGTAGCAATTGTCAATGTATAATTCTGTATATGTTGGGCCATTCTGACATTGCAGTCATATGGCAGGCGTTCACAGTACTATATAAATAAATCTCTGAGAGCTGATGCTAAAGGCTGCAATTCTAAACTCATCAGTCCTGCAACAACCATTGAAACAATATCAGAGGTCGAAGTGCTGAAATGAAGAACATATTAACCTCCACTTCTACTAATTGACAGCTTCAGAATTGATAGTTATGTCAGAGTTTACGATGTTATTGAGTTTACGGTTTTGAGATCCATAGCTATCAGAATGCGGACCTGGATAACTCGTGTAACTTTAAATAACACAAAGACTGCGTGGAGTTGTACGCGAGACTAGCCCATGAACTAAGATCAATGAAACACCTGCGCGAGCTCTGGTGCGGGCGTAGGCGAGGGAATCCTCGAATGCACTAAAAAATCGTCACGTTGGTCGGTGGGGATACAATCGAACACCATCTCCAAGTTTCGGAGGAGACGAGGGTCCTCAGAGCAGAACCACAAGATAACCTTCTGCGTTTCGAGGATGAGACCGACGGTTTTATTCGTGTCCCTACAGATATCAAGCTTGTCGCAGAAATCATCAAGACAGGTAATCCAAGCCGTAAACTTGGCACACCAAAGAAAGTCCTTCCGATCAACGTCGTGGTACACTTCACCTGCGAAATACGGGGCTCTTCCTGACGTGAATTTCTTCCATCCCTCCGGGCCCATCTGAGTGTGGACATCGTGTGTGACAAGCCAATCGTGGGCCTTTTCACTGAACTCGGCTATCAGAGGATACAGTCCACGGTCCTCATAAGGAAGAGTGATATCGGGTACTTGGATTTCCTCCTCCTGATGAACTGGCAGCTGAGGTGATGAAGCTGCTGATTGAATTTTGTGGCTCCTTTCCTGTGACGCTGCTCTGCCATGAAAGGCGACCACTCGATCCTTGGATGCTACATTATTCTGCATCGGCACTATCACTGCGACATTCCTGCCCTCGCTTTTCCTGGACAAGAACCTCGAATTCACACCCATAAGCTTGGAGAAACTCCTTTGAGCTTTTGCCGCCATCGCGTGTTTGAAGGGAAGTGACCGAGTGAAGAGGACTTTCCCCAATCCACAGACGAACAGATCGCAAGTGATACTAAATTTGACAAGCAGCGTATACAAATACCATGATCCCTAGAGCCTCCATAAATACTGCTCACCACTCCGATAATGCTAGGCTGATATTGCAGACATTGCAGATTTTATCATGAGTCAATACCACTCAGTGCAAAATTCCTAAACTACTTCGCGTTATCATGTGAAGAACATCCTTACCGACCTCAGTCTTCGATCACATTAGAGTCGGAGGAACCGAGATCATTCTTGACTTGCGCAACGATGTGATGATAGTACATGCAACGGAAGGTTTGACTTGACAAACTTGCAACAATCAAAAGAAGATGAACATCGTCGCTGAAAAACTCATGCTGTATCATTCCACTGACGGTACTTCAGATGACAATTATTAAAATATTTGGTAATCTGATGTGAATCAATGTCATGTGTGGCTGTCAGTTTTACTCATGATTTTTGCGTCGCCTAGATGCTGTAACGGTACAAATTATTGATTGCTTAATTTAGTGCAGTGCTTAGTGCAAGTCTCCAACATCTCGCAACTTTTTTCCTCAACCCGACAAGTTGAAAAAGATAAGAACCAAATATTCCAGAACCTCTTGAATCATCTGAATTATGAGAAGATACAGACATACTGAATGCAAGTTTCAAATCGTTGCTGAACCGATTGTCCGAAAACACACAGGTTATCAAGATTGCTGCAACCATTAATTTGTTTGAAGCATTGCGCAGCCTTGCAACTGCGGTTATCGGCGTTGGCTTTATGTTTGAAATTTCTTGGCGTCTTACAATTTTGGCTTTGTTCGTTGTTCCGGCCATTTCTTTGGGTATACGCTCTTTCGGATGGTATCTTCGTGGGTTTTCACTCAACAGACAAGCTGATTTGGCTGATGCTACTTCAATCTTAGTTTGAGTTCCTAGCGCGTGCATCAGCAGTCACCGAGCTCGTGAACTTGGTATTTCACGCTCCAGAACACTCGTCCGCAAGCCGTTTCCTGGTGCGGTAGTGAATGGTTGCGGGAGTACGTTGCATGAGATAGACGGGACCGCATCGACTGACAGTTGTGCAGATCTGAGCCAGAAAACGACGAGGATCGAACTTCCCCCTGAACTGCGTCCTGAGGTGATGCCCAAGCATGTTGCGATTATCTTAGATGGCAACAATCGTTACTCGAAGGCGAGAGGCTTGCGTGGAGGTGAAGGCTTCGAAGTTTTGCTCAAGAAGAGTCTCAAAGAGGCTGTGAGAGTCAGCGTTGATTGGGGAATCGAGATACTCACACTCTTTTACTTCTCTTGCGACAACTGGAATCGAGGAATGGTCATTTCTAAAACCCATTTCTGGTTACTTTTCACTTTAAAGAGCGTAACATGTTCTGTCCTGACCCGTTTATAGTTCGTCAAGTTTAGATGTGCCCAGTATATAGTCAAGGGGTTGTAAGTTAGGTTCCAGTTAGATGACACTGCTTGACCAGCGGTAGATGTAGGCTTTATGGTTCTGAAGCGGAAGGTGTGATGGAGGTTGGATACAGGTCGAAATTGACACAATCTTTGGGCTCTTTGAGTTGTATCTGATCAAGTATAGAGAAGCCATAATGAGGTCAGACAACCTGGCTTCTGTTTTTGCTATCTGTTTCAAAGTCTCTAAAAGTTCCATGCATATTCCTCCTTAATACTATAAACTTTTTCATAATGGTGCAGCTTCAAATCTATTTGTTGATATCTTTTGCGTATATTTCACAGCATTTGGCGATGTTTGTTACAGTCTGCAGTCCTCGCCGTGATACTTTTTAACGATCTTTGTAACGTAAGCTTCTACGCTGTTGATCGTACAGGTATAACATTCAGTTTTCGATCATGGGCACTCTAGAGAGATTTCCTGAGACTTTGCAAAAACTGGTGGGTGAGGTGACGGAAGAGTCTCGCAACAACAAGGGATGAAGGTTGTTGTGGCAGCCGGGTACGGTGGAAGACGGGACATTCTTCAAGCTACTCAGAGAATAGCTCAATTGGTGGCTAACAAAGAACTCTCCATCGATGAGATAAACCTGGAAGTGTTCGAGTCACATCTCATGACAAATCACATGCATCCATCCAGTGTTGATCTTACGATGCGGACGAGCGGAGAGCATAGAATTAGCAACTTCCTTCTTTGGCAGATGGCGTGGACCGAGTTTGTATTTTTGAACGAAACCTGGCCTGAGTTTAGACGTGATTCGATGAAGAATGCATTAATCAGTTACCAGTCTAGGGACCGAAGACTTGGTCTAAGAAAGACCAAGTTCTGAATCAAGTCAATTGCAGTCAAGTCAAAAAGTGCGGCATATCTCCACAGCGAAGTTCGAGCTAGATAAGAGAAAGCGTGAGACTAGTTGAGCGTAATATGGACAAATTGTCAACGGAAGTGTAAGACACGAAGCGTATGGTTGTTCTACTCTGCATCTCCCTTCTCATCGTGTAGGCAAATAGAGGAGGCGCACAGCAGCAGTTACACTTCTGACTGTGATTCTAGGGGAAGAACCAAGTGCACATCTGCTATAAGCCTCTACAACTAATCACACGCAAATCCTGTGTAGACACTCACGAGGACATGCATGTAAGCCTCTACAACTAATCACACGCTGATTATGTCTAGAAACTCATAAGAACATGCATGTTTGTTGTTGACATGTACATTTCACGTGCATGCTGTTTCTAATGACATCAAACTGCGTTCAGCTTACCACTACGAAGGGATTTGTCTGAATACTTTTTGTCCCTCCAACTGGTCGTAAGCACATCCTTCTTGTGTCTTTGTGGAGAAGCTATTGCGATTGTGCTGATGTAGGCCGATATATTGATAAATCAAGAAGCCCAATGCACACTCTGAGATAGTTGGGGCTTGTCATTGCCACATATCCCTAACTTTTATTAGAACTTAATATGCGTTCCTATAATAAGCGACATTCAATTTCAACACCTCTGACGATCCCAGGTTTATCAGCTTGAGCAGCCCATTCTTCCGTATTTGAACCATTGTTCGGATTTTGAGCGGCTCATGCACCCAGACTTCCTAATGTTGGGAGAATCCGGAAGATTTTGAGACCTACAGCGGAGACGACCAAATTACGAGAGTGAAAGCTTATTATTAGAGCAAGACAAGTCAAGCCTAATGATAAGTCAGAAGTAACATATAGCTAAAAGATTCGTGGATCCAATCACGTTATGGTAATTTCAATGATAAAATTTGACTCCTATGTCCGGTTTATGACATAGTATCAGTATTACATTACTCAAATTTTATGATGCAATGCAACAATAACCCTTTAAATAGGATATTGAAAGCTGAATAAACACACGTGTAAACTTGAGTATGTAGTTAAGATTGTAAAATTTTTTGAACTTATACGTTAGATATTCCTAAAGTATATTTTTATTAAATTTAAATTTTTTTATTTGATACAATTCTACGGTTATGAATTTGAATTCGTTGCTAGATTTTTAATTTGTCAGATTGTACGCAAGATGTATTGGAAGTATATCCCCCAGGACTGTATATATTGGAAATATATCCTAACGTTCTTTTTTTTCAAGTTAAGGACGTGACGATATCAACAACATGAACTAATGGAAGTTGTTGTGAGTTTATTAGAGTAAGTTAGGTTAATGTTTGAATTAATCTAGAAAATACTTCAGAACACTGTCACTATATAAGGGACCCAGCGAAATCTTTTAGCTTGTGAAAATCCTATAACAAAATTCACGTTCTGCATTTTTAAATGCAGATATAAATGATTAATATTTTTTATTTGCGTTATAGATAACATTGATATAGATGTCAATTTATGTAATTTTTCAATATTTTTCATCAACACATATCTAAAATTTTACAACTCCAATAAAAAATCGCTAACGTTATGGATGCTTAAAACACATTTGGAACATTAAGCGTAGAATTGGAAATATTTGAAATTTTTCCAAATTTCATCTTGACAACAAAGCTTAAAACATATATCATATATTATTATAAAGCTATAAAAATCTTTTCTTTTCCTTGCCTGCATTGACTCGTTTTGACCAGCCCCTTGACCTTCTTTAAACACAACAACAGGGTTATGCCCCCACCACTGACACCTCACTATAAATTTTAAAAATATGTTATATAAAATCTTTATGGAAAAAATAACTATGAACATGACATTTAAATTTCATTTATCCGAAATAAATATATACTCCAAATATTTACTAATTTTTAAAAAAACAAACGCAAATATATAAAAAAATTTCAATACAAGCATATTAAAAAATGTGCAGTCTAATACAAAGAAATCAGTGATGAAATATACAAATTTTTTTTTATATATATAAGAGTTGGATCATAATAGAATCACATATTTGAATTTAAAAATGTGTTTCATGTATTAATTTGTGATATTGCAGAATAAAAATATGACAAATGAAATAATATATTTTTATAATGAGCATTTTAAAAGTACTTTGATAAAAGTATTTAGAATTTAGAATTTACTCAGCAGAATAAGTAGAAGAGTTAGCACATCGCTACAAAAATTTAAAATCAAACATATTCAGATATTTTATAATTTAGATACAATATAATAATATTAAAAATTCAAGATTCAATGCAAATTTTATTATTGATATATATTTTAATATATTAATTTTACTTTATATTTAATAATTTTAATTTTAAATCATTAATTTCATCAAGATTATGATAATTTAAATAATATTTTTGATATTTTTATGAAACTATAATAAATATAAAAATTGTATAACAATAAATATTGATATTGAAATGCTAAACATATAATGCAAATACAAGATAAAAAATGGATTTTTTTTAAATAAGTTCAAAAAATATATATGCTTGTATTCATGATATTTTTTCATTTAAATATAATATAAAAAATTTAATTTTAAAGTAAAGTAATATAAGACATGTGAATTAAAACAATATGTAATTTATTAAATTTATATTTTTAATTCATATTTTTCATATTTAAATCTTTCTAAATACTCATAAAATTTGTCTTAACATTTTTAATGTTATATTTGATTTAAGTTACAATTCATGTGGTTTATATTGAATAATTTTATTATAAAAATTGATCATTATTTTCACTCATAGTGCTGTTTTTATTTTCATGAGAACTTGAGAATACTTATGATTTATAATGAGATATAATAATATCTTATAACTAAAAAAATCAAATTTAAAATGCAATTGTAGATTAAATCAATGCATCAATATCCAAGTGTAAACACAATGCATAATATATAGAATTTTTTCTTAAAATCCTAACTATACGAGTAATGTAACAAAGTTTTGTGATTATTAAATAATAAATGATAAAAAAAAATATAACACTTTAAAATTTTGAGCTAGAAAATCATTCACTTTACAAATTTTTAATGCATCTAGTTCAAATTGAATATTTATACTCTCAACTACACAAAGCAATCCAAGTCATGTTAAAAATATTGAAATTCAAAAATTTTATACTTTTATCTGTTAAAAATTGTTTCTTATATAATAGCACTAATTAAATTGTTGCTAAAAATGCAACACAAAAATGTAAACATGTTTTAAATTGTTTTTTCAAGTCTATTGAATTAAATATGTCAAATAAATAAATGGTGTATTTGTGTAATGTCAACAACTTCTTCAAGTCGGCGCATGTACCGACTAGTTGTGTGTGGAGTACTCCACCACCTGTAACATATCTTTGAAATAGTCATATCTTGATAGATGGATTCCACATCAACTTCTGCACCCACCGAGCAATTCAAATCAAAGTTCAACTAACATTGTTGAGTGAATAATGATCAAATCAAAATAATCATTTCTGAATCAAAGCTAAACCAACATGGCTAAATGCAGAATGAAATCATTACAATAATTACTTTTGAATCATCACTCGATGTGCATTGTACACAGAGAAACCTAGATAGACTTTCAAGAACGGAATTACATTTAAATATATATATGTGAAAAAAAATTTACATATATTTAATTTCACTCATTCAAACACTATTGTTATCCAAAGCCTGCAAACATTCAAAAACAATATAATTTTTTATTATTAATTAATTTAATAAATAATAATTTACATTAATATATGTAAATTTTTCATTTTTCATTTTTCATTCTAATTATTTAAATAAAAAAATCAATAAAATAATATATGTATTAGATTTGTCTGTATATAGCAAAAAAAATTATTTATTAAAATTTGATTTTTGTCATATATATTTTTAACAAGTTTTTTTTCTGAAGGCAAATATGATATTTCATGACCATTCATATTAAAATAACAATCATAAAATATATTTTTAATAATGTATTGTAAAATGAAAATTGTCGTATTTGATTGAATATATTAATGTTAAGAAATAATGATTTTATTTCTATATGTTTTAATTTAATTTTATAATAATTCAATCTTATTCTAAAACACATATTTTGTAATCAAAATATTATAAAATTTATTGATTGAATTTAATTTTATAATCATTTACAATTAACACATGCAATTGTTTTAAATCATAGTAATTTAATCTTTGACCAAATACAATTAAATTTTTAAAATTATTTTCACAAAAAATATAAAATATATTTTTTATATTTTTATTCAATTTTTTGATGGAAAGAAAATAAATATTTCATGAAATCTAAAAAATTATGAGTAAAATAATGTACAAAATTTACAATTAATATTTTTTATTTTCAACTCACTTATATATCAGTAAAATCAATAGATAAATCTATATCTAAATAAATATATCATCATAATAATCATATTAATTAGACTATCAATGTGAAATGAAAATCAATCATTAAATATCAGTATGAATCAAACCAATCAATGAATGATGACGATTGTAATATTTATAAAGAAAGCAATAAAAAATTAAAAATTTTTTTCAAAAGAAATTCATATATTTTAAGTTTCTGAAATAAATCTTTTATTTCTTTCTTCATATTTTTCAGAAAACTCACATACTCCTCATTGCTACAAAGTTTGCTACTTAAGTCATATGTATTGCTTTATTGATATTATTTTTTAAACATTTCTTCTTATGAGTAAATTTTAAGATATCATCTTTTATACTAATAATATAAAATTTTTGAATCAATAAAATTTTTATTTGAATTTTTATTTGATGAAGCAAATTATGAAAAAAATTTATGAATAAAAAATACAATTTTAAAAATCCTATTAGACTTCTGCTCTCATAAACTCTATTAAATTGATTACATGTTTAAAAATTTTTATTTTACTCATAA